TGATATGCAACAATATCTTCTCATTCATATCCATTAAGATAAACACCCTTTCGATATCCTTTATATCAGTATTCTAAGATATGCAACCATCTTTCAACAGTTTTCATACTGATTGTTTTCTGGGTTCCTATATGTTCAGGTAAAATAAAATCTTCAATATATTGCTTAAAATAAGCTATATCAATACCATTTGAATCTGATTCTTATCATAACCATTATTGCAAACTCAATGTAACATCTTTATCATTGACAAGTTGATAATATTTTTGATATTTATCATGGCATGAAACTAGAAATGATTGGTAATTCAAGTAAAATTTAGTTAAAGAACGAATCCATTTAGTGGTATATAGCTTTGAGTTAATATAAACCATTTGCATTGCTTCTTTACTAGATTTATTTTTCCACAGCTATTATTTAGCTATATGAGATATTCATAAATAGCACGCTATCTATTATATTCAAAGACCGTAAGTGTTTTTCCATTTTTAAAAAGGTTGTCTTGAAGTTGTGTAATCCTTTCACAAAGTATCAAATTCTCATTTATTTTTGATAGAGACCTAGATAATGCCAATAATAGAAAAAAAGATAATGGTGATAGTAATTGTGATAGTGATGGTGATAAAAAAGAAGTGAGGAAGGAGATAAAGATGAAGATGGATAAAAAGGTAAAGTAGAACTGCTAGCAAACTTACTGACACACTTATTTGAAGATGCTGAAAATTTGGATGACACAAAAGGACCACTACCAGACCTATCGCTACTCAAAAACTAGTAATTTTAGGTATTCTCTTGAAAGCATTAGCAAGTATACCAGAAGTATCAAACTTACGATAATATGTAATTTTTAATATTCCTTTTATTATTCTTTCATTTTTTCAGATTTATTCTATATGAGTCCTACTGCAGGTGAACGCATTTGTAATTTTTCTTTCTTTTCAATTTCTTTGTCTTTCTTTTCAATAGATTCTGTATACTTTTGGCTAATCTCAGTTTCTTCTTTTTTAATAAGAGAATATTATCTCCTTTTATTGTATTCTTGAAGTCAGGTAAAATTTTTTTTTCTCTGTAACATTTTTAGTAACAAATAAATAATTTTCCATCCTGAATATCTGTTAATATTAGTTTTATTAACTAATAGAATTTTACATGTAATTTGATTGGCCAATTTCAAATCACGTGATTGTTTCACTGGGATGTTAATAATATGAAAAGAAGGCATTTTAAAATTAATATAAATCAGAAATGAGTAATTATTTTTAAAAAAAAGAGGCTGACAAATTATAGTAAATTAATTTAGCTTCAAAATAGTGGTTTTCTTTTTTTAATATTGTATCTGTATCATTTTTTATAACTTTTTAAAAATTGTTAAATTTATTGAAGTCTTTAAGTGTCCTGCACTGTAACTCATAAGAATCAAAAAAATAAAAATGTAAATTTTAAAACTTTTTTTTTTAAAAATAATAATATTTTACTTTATTTTTTTTATTATAACATATTTTATTCTTTACAAAGTTATTTCTGCTATTTCTTTCTTATATTTTACAGTATAATGAGTAATTCAATTTCTAATAGTCTATATTTAGATAGCATAATACCATAAAGTTCTTTTCCTAGTATAGCTAAAGTTTGCAATTCACTTAGCATTCTTTCTGCAGTATAATAATCATAATAGTTTACATTATCTAAATAAAAATATCCTTGCATTAATTATATTATTCTTTTTGCTATTTGTATTTCACCTTTTGTTTCAGATTATTAATTTTATTTCAATGCTCATCTAGGTAAAAAATAAAAGTTATTGTCTACAAATTCACTAGAAATTAATTAATTATTTCCTAAGAATAGAAAAACACTACAATAGTTATTATTGATAATAGTAAACCTACTTTGGTAAAAAAGAATCTTGTAATAAAGGATTAGGATTATATAATCTTGAGTCTTAAAAATTATTATAAAAATATAAAAAAAAGTAAATTTTTTATTTACAATTAATTTCATAATAAATTTATAATATTATTACCCTTAATTATTTCATTATTTAAATAATATTGTAAGAAATTTGCAAGTAAATTTTGATCTAAATTATTATTGAATACAATGTTTTATCTGATTAAAACCTCTTTGATTTTCTTAATACTATATTATTTAGTATTTTTTTATATAAATCAAATGAATGAAAAGTTATAATAATTGATCAAAAAACTTGATATTAAGCAAAATAAAATAATATTATACCTATTGCATGTGATATAGGTATTATCTACATAAATTGAATTTTAGTAGATATGTTGGTATATGGTTGTAGTTTTAAAAAATTATTTTTTGATAATTTTGTATTTTAGTTGGAGAAAATTTTATCTATTTATCTATATTTGATAAGGTTCTTGCAAAAATATAATCAGAAAATAGATCTTCTATAGGCTATTACCATTCAACCAGTTATATATTTCAGAAAGTATACTTATCTTACTCTTAGTTATTTCTCAATTAGGTTTAATTTGACAAACTATAGTACTACAAAGGTTTTTTATTGCATTTTCAATATTACTTCCAATAGCAATATTATTTTTAAGTCTAACATATCATTTAATTATATGTGTTATCTGTAAATAATCAATTATATAGATTCAATATTTAGTTAAATAATAATATTTAATAATAAATAATTATTATTTACTTACTGATACATAATGTGAGTCAATAGTTGTTTTTATCTTCTCAGCCTCTAAAAAAATTTATTTTCAAATAATAATATCATATTAATCTTTCTAATGTGCAATAATAGCTATCATCTCAGAATTATGATAATAGGATCTATTATTAGAAATTATTATAATCCATTTTGATTTTGTGAATAAAGATTCAATAATAGAATGAAGTAACAATATAATAAGTCATACATCTTGTATAGTATCAGCTAACCAATGATCAAAAGTAGTAATAGTAAATTCAGATTCATTTTTTGTTTTTGTATATATCAAAACAATATGAAAAGTCCAGACTTTTTTTTCAAAAAATTTTTATTTTATCTCACGTGTAGTCTTTAGTAAGATATGCATCTTGTAATCTACTACTAATAATGCATCTTTACTATCTAATTCTAAACTGTGTATTTAGATAAACTTTCGTATTTAATGTGTTAAATAATAAGAAATCCATTTTTGTTGATCTTCTAAAAATTCATATTCTTCAGATGAAAAAACTGAATAAAATTTATCAAAAAAATAGTAAAATTGTAAACAATTTGTATACTGATTTTTATGATCGTTAGATATATTCCAAAAATATATAACAAATAATAATCTATACAATCATCATGTGTAATACTTTCATCACTTCTTATATAAAATTCATATTCAAAATTTCTTTTCATATGATGTTGTAATATTTCTAATTTATGTAATAAAATTTTCTAATAAAAAGTATAATTGGTATAAATAAATATAAATATTTTATTATTATAAATAATAAAAATTTTATACTTGATATATAATATCTTTGACATAAAAAATAATTTATCTAAAATTTCTGCAAATACATTATATCTATATTAAAAATAAATTAAATATAATCCCTCTAAATCTTCATAATATTTAAATAGACCATCTGAAATTTTTGTTATAAAAGTAGTTTTTTTCATTCTATTAAGATATTTCTCAGAAAAATTTTCCACAATGCTTTTTTTTAATTTTGTAAATATAATATCAGAAGATTAGTTTTAGGATCAACTATATAGAAGCTTATAGATATATTGGCTTTATTAGAAAAAAAATTATCAAATTCTTTTTTATTTGTTCAATTAAACGTGAACTCTAAAATATTTTTAATTTATTAATAATTAGATATCCAAGTCCATTGATTTATTCAAACTTTCTTACTGTATTGATAGTAGTATTTGAAATCTATATAGAAACTTTGCTGAAACCTATTAAAATAAAAAAATATGTTAACAATATTTTTGTAATATAATAAATATATCAATTTTATATTTATATTATCTGTGTTGTAACTATATGATCACAATATATCAAATATATATCAATTTATATAGTAAACATATGTTAGAAATATGATATAAAAATATAATTATATAACAAACATATAACAGAAATATAGTAAATATATATCAAACATGTATTATATATATAATTAAAAATTTGATTTATATAATAATCATATATCAAAAATATATTAGAAATATAATTGAATTTTATATAATAACCATGTGTCAATGATATAATAAAATATATATATATTTTTTTAATCTCTGAACTTTTTATTTTCAGATAAAAACTTTATCTAATAAATTTTAAGTGCATGAATATTTGCTTTAAGAAAAATGACAATTATAATTAAAACCTTTCATCATAATTACCTATAATTACTCATAAAATAAAGACTGATAATAAGTTTTGAGATTGCGAAAGAGAGAAATCTAAAATAATATTTTTTTTTTTGCTTAATGAATCATATTATTAAATATAGTATAAAATTCTTGTTTTCACCATACCTAATATGAATTTGTAATTTTTGCTCATTTGATGAATCTGAATAGCAAATTCTATAATTTATATTAAAAACAATATAAGTGATATAATAAAATAATGCAATAAACAATATTATTATAATATTCACATATTTTTTGTCTATACTGCATTATAATAAAATTTGTTTAAAATATAGCTTCTGTTAGTTTCATCATATTCATTATCACATGTATTTGTGCAATTATGAATAAAATATATACATAGAACATGATCAACAAAATCAATTAAAAAAATTCAAAACCAACGTGACTCTTTAGATCTCTGAATCTTATAAAGTGGACATTCTAATACAGTATTGATAGTATTTATCATCTTAAACTAATCAAATACAAAAAATGCAAAATATCAATCATTATTTACTTTATGCCAAATAATTGACACAATTCTGACATATGCGATAACTTCAGATTTCTCTTCAAGTTTCACAACATTTTTGATATGAAGTTTTAATCAGATAAGAGAATCCTGATTACTTTTAAGAACTGTGTATGCGATAGATCTATAATATTTCAAATTTCTGTTTAATAACATAGCTTTTAAACCTAAATGATTGCTATATAATCTGTAAAGATCTTGAAAAAATGGATTGTTATTATCTAACTTTGTTAAACCTATACTTTTAATCTTATTGGTATCCCATTGATTGCAAAGTGATATATCAATAAAATTTTCATCATGACATACTGTATCTATAAAAATATATATAAATTAGCAAATAAGAATGAATCTATTATAACTAAATACAAGATTTATTACCTTCATTACTTTCATGTTCATTATGATTAGTATTTGTTATAAATGAACTTTCTGTGGCATATTATCCTGAGAGAATTGTGTAAAAATTTGAATCTATGGTAAGATTACTCAATGCATTGGTCCTTGTACCAAAGTGAGAATTTGTCTAATCATTAATGAGATATCGTAATATCTGAACGGTATTGTATCATCAAGTAAGATTAAATTCAATTGCTTTACAGTTCATATGTGGTACCATATTCTTAAACATATGATGTATTATCTCTTTTATGTCTATAGCAGTATTAACAAGTGTTGTAAAATTACAAACATATTGTAGAAGATGTACTTTTACATGCAAATTAGGTAGGTTTGTAAAATTATTCAGAAATAACTAATAATATAAATTATAATATTAATACATTTAAAATATACTTGTAATATTAATAATATATATATGTGGCCAAAACTTCCAAAATACTGAGATTTCTGAAATTATAAAAGAATACATAATTGTATAAGTATTTCGCATTATTTTTTAAGTGATTTTTGCAATTCTTGATAAATACTTTCCATCATAGTAATTAAAAATGCAAGTTTTAATGCTTTAGTTTTAATGGCCCAATATGTACATAATATCGACACAGCAGAATTTTGTCTTATTCTAAAATTTTTACGCCAATCATTCAAAGTATTTGTCTTTATATGATGAAATTTTAAAAAGCGTTGAAGAATAAATGGTATTAGCATTACAAGCCTTAATATATCAGAGAACATAAAACTTTATAATGTCATTTAGATTAGGCATTTTATACCAATAGACAGGTTTTTCAATACTTTTCTAATGCTTTACAAAGGTATTTTCACTACTTGTATTAAACATATTAAATGTTGCTTCTAATAAAGTCTGTGCTTTTCCAGCCATAGAATGATATGCGTTATGTGATATTTAAAGATGTCAGTTCCATTGAAGAATATTAAAGAATCCTGATTCTATTAATCTATATTTTGTATATAGCCGTTCTTTATTTCTTTTTGAATGTTAGTTTTTAATTTCTACAAGTCGTTCATTTATTTGCTGGTAAAAACAAGCATTTTTTATAAAATTATAATTTGGATTAGTATATTGATTATTTGTAATGCTCTGAATAGTTTGATTTGATTCAGATTATAGGCCAATCTAAAACTGAACTGAAAATTTCAGTTCTTAAAAATGTCAATCTGAAACTGAACTGAACTATAAACTAGTAAAAATCTGAACTGAACTGAAAATTTCAGATTAATCCAAAATTTCAGATCGTTTGAAATGATAATTTTATTATTCTAATCAAACGATTTTCTTATCATTCATTTGGAATGATAGTTATATTGTTCTAATTGAATGATTCTCTTATCGTTCATTTAGAACAATAATTTCATTGTTCTAATCAAACGATTCTCTTATCGTTTGTTTAGAATGATAGTTTCATTGTTCCAATTGAACGATTCTTTTATCATTCATTTAAAATAATAACTTTAATTATTCTAAATGAACGATTCTTTTATCACTCTTTTGAAACAATAATTTACTCATTCTAATCGAACAATTTTCTTATCGTTCGTTTAGAATAATAACTTCAATTATTTTAAAAGAATGATAGATATAATCATTCTAAACGATCTGAAATTTTCAGATTGAATTTTTTGCAATCTGAAACTGAACTGAAGTTGATCTGAACTGAAAATTTTTGGATTAATCTAAACCATTCAGAGCTTTAATTATTTGAGACATTACATGTTCAACAATCATGATTAGCTCTATGTCATTTCATGTCTGCCAAATTATTTTCTTGTAGTAAGTCAGCAGTAATACACCTAATACTGCCTATAGCTCATGTGCGATTATGCAAAGTTTGCATCACAAGGTTATTTTCTAACAATTTTATATCTTAAAGTACTGGTTTGATAAAATCATTAAAAGTTGTTTTGAATGAAACGAAACCTATTAAAAAATAGTTTTTTAATTATTTTCAGAAAGCTAATAGCATATTTCTGAATTATAAATAGATGCCACCTAATAAATGATACACATTTTTATAAGTACCAAAATCATCAATATATATATCCAGAAATATCTTTAAGACAGGTAATTTCTGCTGCGGTTGCTTGAATGTTATAAATTTGCAAGATAATCAATGTCTTACTATTATATCATAATATTTCCATCTGTCATCGAAATGGTATATAATTTTTTCAATATAAAAATTATATACTTCAGATTCTAGCATATCGCATAACTAAACAAGTATACATCATTTTATATTTGCTGAGTTTATTAATTTTGCTTCTCTCTCAATCAACCATAACTCTTTACCATTTTCACAAGTATGTCAGTTATCAGTGAAGTAGCAATTATGAAGATTTCATGTAATATAAGTGTATTAATTTTTAGTTTAAGTATATTATTGTCTATTTTATCAACTACTACACTACGTACTTGACACATAAATGTTGATGATTGTTCGCGATATATTAAAAAATTACCTATTCTATAAAATTCTAGATAAAAAACGTTTTATGTTATTCAATTATAATTTTCTATATAAACTATGTAAAAAACATTACAAACCTTTGTTTTCATTTCCAATTTTGTCTTCTCCAAATAACAATGAATTTTACCAGAGTTCATCATACCAAAATTCTCATTTTTCGTCTGCAACTATTCTGAGGCCAAAGTACATTTTTGGTATAAGTATCAGATTGTTTAAAATGCGTTCCAGATATATTAATGGAGAAATTATAAATGCTTATTTTATAGATGCATAAGTAGACGATATTTGCTATGAATAAAGAGATATGTTATGTTTACGTATTTTGACTAAGAGTAGTCTATTTCTCCATTTTTGAATCTGATGAATCTTTATAGTAACATCTTCTTTTTAATACTCAGAATGTGTAAGAATCTTGGTAAGATCTTCATAAGCAGATGTTGCTACATAAAATTATTGATTATATAGTAATATATATATATATATACTATATAAATAGTAAAGCATTTGTTAGTATTACTCATAAATCATGTGTTTAGTGATCCATATAAAAATCATTGTTAATGTAAAATTTGGAAAGTATAGATTATATTTACTATCAAAACCTTTGAAGTTAAAAGATTCTCCTTCTAATATATCACTATTTATCGAAACTTCTTTATCTACAATGTCAAGTAATGACCTATACAAATCATCAATATATTCTTCTATATCATGTTTAGGAACGGTCTCCTTAAAATGATTTATAATAAAAGTTATACGTTAACTATCATACTATAGTCAGGGGTATTTCTAAATTTGGAATCGATTCCAGAATATTCTGCTAATCATGCCGATCATTTTAAATAGGAAATTCGTGAAACTTCAATGATCTATAAAATTTTTTTTTTTTTTGCAAAACTAAATACTAGAATATATGTTTTTGAATATGTAGATTCAGAAATCATGCGGATTCACAAGACCTTACAAAACAGTTTTCTCTCAAATTAAATTTAAAACTAAGCTTTTTATATATACTAATTTTGTAATTA